AACTCCTTGCCAGCACACAACCCATGTCAGCCAGCTCACTCTCCGAAAGCTCTGGCTCATGAGTACAGCTGTCGCAACCTCTTGCCAGCACACAACCCATGTCAGCCAGTTCAGCTTCAAACTCTCTGCAATCAACCACAAGTCTTTTTTTCAGCTTCCATGTCAGCAAACTCCAGTTCAGCACCATTGCATCCACACCTGGATCCGCAACTCGGGCTGTCAACTGCGAGATCATGCTCATGCACAAACCTAAGACCTCCAGTGGTTTCACAAGTTAAATCATACAACAAAGGATTTATGATCATGCTGCCGACACTGCCAGTCTTTTGGACATCAGACCTATTGTCGTGGCTTGCACTCAGTTCCGCACTTTGGACTGGTTCCTGTTGCCAGGTATATTGACCATCACAGCTCTCCAGCCATTGGTCATTCCACCAATAGTCATCATCGTCCCAACTTTCAGCAGTCCAGTCGGTCCAATCCTCATTCCAACTTTCTGAAACTTCATTCAACTTGCCTTTCTTTCCCTTTCCTTTGCTACCTTTAGAGCCTTTTACACCTTTGGAACCTTTCTTGTCCCACATGTCAGATTTCACAAGTCCAGATTTGCCTTTCTCACCTCCCTTTCCTTTTCCACTTTCCGGGCGTGAAGGGCAATTGCAACTGACCTGTCCTGCTTTCCCACAACGAAAGCATCTGATCTTACTGACGTCCACGGTGCAAGATCCTGCAGTGTGCCTTCTGCTTCCGCACTTCCCACATCGGCCTTGTACCGTGTCGACGCCGAACTCCTCAAGGGAATAGTACTCTGCATTCCCCTCCAGAGAGTTCAATTTCTTACCACTACCTGTGGATTCAAAATCACTAAATAGTCGATCGATGTTGCTCTTCCCTCCGCATCGCAGCGTTCCGGTATGATTCATGGGTGTCCGCGCTGCTGTGGTGGAGGACATAGTTCTTCACAGCTTCCGGTAGGCTTTTCAACAGAACAACTAGCATGTCTGAATCTGCCAGCTTCAGTCCTGTGGTGTCCACTTGCATAGGGAGAGTTCCTAGCAACCTTGAAAATCTTGCGGCTTCATAATCAATTCTTCTGATAGTATCGCTTACTAAGGAACTCGGCGATGTTTGTGCTGCCGCCAAGACGAATGATCTCCCTGCTATCTGTGTCCTCAGTGAAAGAGCCTCGGATCTTGACCTGATAGAGAATTCAAGGGTAAGTTGTCTAAGCAATTCATACCCATTCGATTGTTGGTTTACTGCGATCGACATTCTATCATCAGATCCCACGGCATGTAAGGATACCCCTTCACTAAAAGCTTGCACTAATGCCACACAGCGTGGATTGTCGTGAAAAGCTGCCTTCAAGATGGACATCAGCCTCCTAGACCTCGCCTGCTGTACTGAACTTAGAGCACTCCATCTAATGGGACCTGGCCACCTGCTACTGTGTTGGATCTCCGCTGAAAATTCCAAACTACCACCAGCTGCCCAGGATGACAGCTCATCCAAATAGCCAGCCCATCCTAAGACCTCTTCTTCTCGAGACTTCCAAGTACTAACTGGAGTTGGTGCCGGTGTAAACCATTTTTCACTTTTGGCGAAAACATCCAATTGCTGTTGGTTTCCATGATTGTTTGACTGTTGAACACCAAAACCAGGCAAAACATCAAACGGCTGCGGAGTCACAAACGACGAATCAGCTGCCCTACCAAGACCATCACCAAACACTTCTGGAACCCCTCTTCTTTGCTGCATAGTCACAAAACGTTATTCCTAACGGTTAGAAAAGGGAACCAGGAGGGGAAAGCTTGCGTACCACACGGTCAACCAAAACAACCACACTCGTCACACCAAAATTTGAAATATACATATAATACGCTTATCGTATGTATATGTATATATACATATTCATAAGAAAAAGATACGCACGCCGTCGCCTGTTCGATCTAAAAAAATGAACTAACACTTCCGAAGTCAGCAGCCTTCCTTTTTTTTCAGCGGGGACAAAACAGCTCTGAGTTCCGTCTACTTTGACGGTAGGGTTAGGCCATCCCTGAGGGACGGGAAAAAAACCCAAGGTTTAGGGTGGGAAAATTGAAAACAGGGATGCCGCAACTAAAGAGGGTCCCACCCTCCCACCACTTAAACCAAAATGTTACACGTTCAAAAATTGACAGTTGTCACACTGATAAGAACAGAGTTGTGTTCACTGAGCTGCAAGCATCCAGATCTCACACTGATAAGAACAGACATACAGTGACATCTAAAACAGACATACAGTGACATCTAAATTAGCCTTGCAAACCGAACACAAACAAGGACAACAAAAGATCTTTAAACGTGGTTCGTTATTGGGTTGTTTGTTTTAACACAGGTTGACCGACAAGCAAAGGTTACGCCAAGCATAGAAGACAATACCTCCAGGTTACCCTATAGCCTTTAGCCCTATAAAGGGCCAAAGGCAAGAAACCGTTTTGGAATAAAGGAACTATCCTTACCTCGTACCTCGGACGGAGGCGCTCCTTATTCCTAACGGTTAAAAAGGGAACCAGGAGGGGAAAGCTTGCGTACCACACGGTCAACCAAAACAACCACACACGTCACACCGAAAATTGAAATATACATATAATACGCTTATCGTATGTATATGTATATATACATATTCATAAGAAAAAGATACGCACGCCGTCGCCTGTTCGATCTAAAAAAAATTGAACAAACACTTCCGAAATCAGCAGCCTTCCTTTTTTTCAGCGGGGACAAAACAGCTCTGAGTTCCGTCTATATCCCCCCGTCCGAGGAGTGCAACTCATGAGCACAACGTTCCAGTCCACCGCACAAAAAGGTGCCCTGAAGGGAGTTCAACTGATCGAAGTCCAGGCTGTTCAGTGCGTCTTCTATGTTGCTATGTCGGGCAACTCTAGCATACCAAGACCCAGTTCTGCTTTCGAACTCGGCGGCCATTATGGAGTTAGCCACCATTCTTGCAACTGGAGTTTCACCATTACCTCTTGGCAAGGCCATGCTTACTGACTCATTGTCAATCAATGCACTACTTGGCAGCCTTGAAAGAGGTCTCTCCAAAGTTGGAAACAGACAAGAATGGGGATCATCTCCAATTCGTGTATGGGGTGGCTCAGATGAGCAAGCGGCAAAGACATGACATATTTCGGTGTTAGGCACTCGAAGTGAAGTACCACCTGGTGATTAGGGGCAATCAGTACGCCTCCTATGCTACCTGATGGCACATCTCCTTCGCAGGTTCCATCTGTAAAGATAAGGCAGTTTCCAAATTTGGATTCCCATGGGTATTGCTGTACCAATTTGGACTCTTTGGCATGACCGCTGTATTATCTGAATCTAATCCACTGACAGCGTGCTAGTAGAGTGCCCAGCTCTACAAAGGTCTCCAAACAGCTCCAAGTCCAGATTGGCTATGCTGCCAAGCTTGAAAAATTCAAAGAAATCATTCCGCCCTCTGATTCTCTCCGCTTCCTTTTGCGTGAGGTCGCCTTTCTGAATTAGGCCTTCGAGGCTCTGTTGGCATGTGCTTCCCCTTTCTTCTGTATGGGAACCAAAGGAGGCTTTGGAGGTGGCGTTTCTCAATTTACCACCAACCCCAACGTTTTGAAACTACTGAAAGGAGGGACTTTTGGCCCGTCTGCTCATAGGTCATGCCAATCAACTAAACAAAAACACTTTCACGGACCAGTTGGCGTTGGCCTCTTGTCTGAATTGCATCTGCTTAAATACTTTGCTATGGAAGGAACTTGTCGATTGGCGCAGCGCGTCCTGGGTCAAGGTTGGGTCCTTAACTTGGCATGGTAAGAGTTCGGAATCCGGCATCCTTCCACTCAACTTGCAACCGGAAGCAATATCCTCCCCAGGTGTTTGTCCGGAAAAAAACAATGTCAGATAACATCTGTCCAATAGCACCAGGCGTTCCCCACCAAAGTTTGTCGCAAGTATGCTTGCATTTTCAATCTCAGCTTCAATCCCTCTGGCTTGCCTTGTTGCGCCAGTTGCGTATATTTCTTCAAGCAGTCGATACGGCGTTGTGCCAGGAAGTGAGGTGGCCTAAAAAATTTATCAAAAAACTTCATGTAACGCAGGGTCAGCCTGTCTCCTCAGGCCTTTGGATGACCAGCAGCTACAGCTTCTTCAAGAAAATTCAGTGGTTCGCTTTTGGATGACCAGCAGTTACAGCTTCTTCAAGAAAATTCAGTGGTTCGTGTGGAGTTCCCACTTGATGGCACTCCACTGTCGTATCATCCAACAGTTCCTGCTCCTTCAACTTTAAAAGTTGACATTACCTTGCAAATTGTTCCGTCAACTTAAAAATTGACATTGCCCTGCAAATTGTTCTGCCCGAAAATTGCCCCCGCAAACTGTTCCGCCCGAAAATTGCCCCACTTCCAGAGTCTGCGGGACAGCACCTTTAAGCCCTTGGGGCAGCGCTGTAACACTGAGTTGGCAGGGTCTGCATATTGTGCCGGTGTCGCCACAAAATGTTTTCCCGTTTAAATTGCAATGTTTGCTGTATGAGTGCAAAGCAGTTAAGGGTATGCTGCCTCTTCAACGGTTGGAAAAAAAAACCGTTTGCCATCTTGAATACGAATTTGCGCTTGTGCCGAAGGCGTGGCCACTCGAACCTGGTACACAACTTGTACCAGTTCCGAGTGGCCAAACCCATAGCACCGCTCTAACGCTGAAAAAGAAAATTGCCCTTATTTTTTCAACATTGATGCAAATGAGATCCATCGCATTTCAACCCGAGGTTCCATCCACTTCTTGATGCTCCAGTATTGCGTGAGTATGTCTCGACCTCCACGATGGCAGCAGTTGTGGAGATCAGTAAAGATCTCTTAAATAGCAAAAGATTAATGCAAACTTGTTTTCCAGCACAAGCTACCAGAATAACTCCGGTGATGCTGCATATAGTTGGTTCGCCATCTCTGTCTTTAATTTGTCAATACCTGTCAAATTGTCTTTCGCCTCAGGCTGCTCAACAGTTCTCAGCGGTCGGTTTGCCGATCGCCTTCTCAACAAGGAGCTCTTTACTGGTCTGCTTCTGGCGCAACTTGTGGCTATGAACACCATGAGCAGTCTGTTTTTCTCGACCACAATAATGTCCAACAATAGTTGCAGTTGTGAAGACACGGTGAGGTCCAGCGTCATAATATCAACCCCCCAAGCTCCTGCTCGTTACTTTGTCGATCTCCATGCGACGTATGGCAGGTCTTGGCTAAACGCGCCGATCCTGCACAGACTTCCATCCTAAGCAATTCCTCCACCGTCAAACCTAAAAAAAAGGCTTAGCCCTTGTTGTGTCTGACCACAAATTGGAAAGGAAAATTGTGAATTAGGCGGCTCCGGTTCAACTGGTGGCGTTGTACCAACTGGTGCAGCGTCTACAGCTTCGGTGACGCTAGCATCAGACCCCTCGAGGTTTCTAGTTTCAGCTAGTCGAGCCGGCCTGGACCGGCATGTAGTCGCACTATGCCCTGGATGTTGGCAGTGAGCGCATACATGGAAAACTCCCATGCATGTGGCTGCAGTACCCGTTGTGTTGTGTGAGCATCCACATGCCATATTGAAATTCCAGCAGATGTTGCCCTTGGCTGTCGTTGACTGGCTTCAAAGACTTTGATTGCCGTTGCACGAGAATGGTCCAAAGCTCTTTGTCTGCTTGTAGAGCTAGTCCAGTTTAACAGCATCAAATCTTGCAGGTACATCTTGGGTTAATGTTTGAAGAAGCCATTGCACCCATTCTTCACGGTAGGCCCACTCTAAAAGCCGGTATTGGTCCATTGCGATCCCTCGTTTCTGCATCGCCCATGGCACTGAAGCTTCAACTCAGACCCCACTTCTGTTACGGTTGTTACTGGCACCCAGGCCACCCTCAAAGTTGAGTGTTCAATCTGTAGTGTAGAGGCCGCTGACTTGATGTTTGCTTGTATCTCGTCGTCTCTCTTTCAGCGTTTTGAGGGTGCTATCCATGGCAGCACCCTTGACTCTACCATTGCATTTGTAACATCCAACAGTTGGTGGCTGTGTGTCAACTCTCCTGCTATCTTCAAGCCTGCCAGCCTTTTCGCTTGAACCTCCAAACGTGATTGCTTCTCAGCCGCAGGACGTCTCTGAGCTAAACTGGTGGGTCTGATGTATCTTCCTTCACCTGCTCGTTGATCTACGTCACCATGAGAGTGGTAGCTTCAAAATGAAGCTTCCGCAGCAATGCATGTTGGCCCAGTATAGGAGATTGGAAAACCTTACTTCCAAATCCTCGGACTGCTCATCTGTAGGCGCCCTGCGGGAAGTCCCCAGTGTGAAGGCAAGGGTACTGAAACCTGTTACTCCCAATGTGCTCAAACCAGTGATTAGCTCTTCTCCTCCTCGCAGCTCGTTGCATTTCCGCTCGAAGGCTGCAGCACTGTCAAATACGCTCATGTCGGCAAAGCAGGAGGTGAAGTAAAGAACTATCCAAAGGTTGTTTATGCAGTTCTATTCAAATTCTCTTCACTTATCCTACATGAGTCAAGCTGAAGTATATAAAAAAAAATATGAATGTTTCTAATTCCATGAACGTGGCCACAAAGATATCAACTTATCGTGCACTCCGTTCATACTGGGCTGCGGACATGAATGCTGGTGAGTTGCTTGACTTGACATCAATGCCAACTCTTCCAGTGGAAATGAAATAATTGTTGAACATGTTTCCATGGCTCAGTGGTGCAACTGCAGCTCTCTGGAAAGAAATGATTATAAATCTCGCGGCTCGTGACCTCATGAATTTCGTCATAAGGAATTCGAAATGATTTGCAAACAACTGTGAGTTCAGGATCACGCCGGCTCAGCTCCATTCCTACGTCTATTTTTACTCCTTCACAGCATATGCGGGTTGCGGCGAACCAGAGTGTCATATCTTATGACCATGGTCTCCCGCGTGAGAGCTCTCCCTATCATCCTGTTGCACATGAAACTCTCTTATACTCAGGCAGCGCAAGGTGAAGCGTTCCTAGTTTTGGTATTGCCACAAGACGTAGCCGTTCAGTGGCGTTGGCGGTCTGAACAACCTGCCTTGGCTCTTTGGGAAGGTCTCCTCGCTCTCAGCTGAGGAGCTCGAGGCATCCTCCTCGCTGATTTGGGTTTCTTCCTGTATTACCTCTGACAGCTCAACTTCTGCAGTAAGGTCCATCACTGTGAAGCTTGACAACTCAGGCTCTTTTTCAACTGGCTGGCAAACGAATCTGCCACTCCTCATTGAGTTTGGCCGGAGTGTTTCTTCACGGATCGCCTTCAGCACACTCTCAAGTTGCAGCAGGGGTTGCGCTGCTGCATCACGGCTGCACGTGTGAAGAAGTTTGAATCCTCCCACATGATACGCCCATTGCAGTTTTGTTTCAGCGTCCAAACCAAACTTTGCTGCCAACGAGAGCATGGTTGCCTTCATGCTATGGGCAGGCACTCTTCTGCCAGGCAACCGCTCCTTTTTTCCAAATAGGATTTTTCTGAGCCATCTACCGGTTTCTGGTGCCGACAAAGGCCTCATTGTTGGGGCACTTTGGACTGAAGGCACTGGCATGAGCGGGTGATCAAGGGGCTCAGCAACGCTCAAGGACTTCCTTACCTGCAGCCACCTCTCACGAAGAGTGGTGTGCAACCTGCATAGGTCATCCACGGTATTTCTGCAACTGTACACCTATGCAATCTCTTGCTGGTTACTGCTTCCTTGAGTTCAGCCATGGAGAAAACATGGTAACAGAATGTAATGGCTTCCAAGTAGCTTCGTAACCTGGAAGTCGGTGCACTAGTGGACCTCTCATGTTGAAAGAACCTGTAGATGCTAGCTTCAACTGCTGGTAAGCATCCAACACCCAAAAACTGGCAAAATCTCCCCACGGCTTTGACACGCTTCAGCAAAGTGGCCGGTGCCTTACCTCTGAACAAGTCCCTCGGCACTAAAATCTTGCTGACGGCTTCACTCTCAGTTGCCAGCTGTTGCCAAACTGTTGCACCACGGTTGAAAGAAAAAACAACAACAAGCCATCTCTTAAGTGCAGACTGCAACGTGGATTCACTTTCTTCTTGCCAAGTAACTCCAGGAGTATGTCTCGCAACATCTGCACAACTGTCACTGACACTCTCAGGCATGGACCTTTTCATTTCACGTTGACACTCCGCAAGCTGTTCCACCCGTGACTCCAAGCAAGTTGATGGATCTGGTTCATAACATTCCACACTGCAAAAATCACTCTCCAAGAGAATACCATCCCCAAAAATAATCGACCCGATGCCCTCATCCCAAATGGGCTTCGTTGCCGAGGCATGCCATGACATTGAGGCGGTTGTAACACATGCATCAAGGTTCACATTGGAGAAGGTTTCTTGAGGTCCCGGCTTCTGATCTCCTATTGAAGACGATGAAGTCCCTAACTCAAAACTCAATCTTATTGAGCACACCTGTTCGTCCCTCTGATTTGCATCAAAATCAAGGTCTGATGGTGTTGCAGGCATTGATGAGTCTCGTTCTGGTTTGCTTTCTTCCAGAAACAAAATTGCCAAATATTGTCCGTTGCCAACAAAACCAAAACCACATTGATAAGCATTGTCATGATTTGTAAGGTCTTCACCCTTTGCCAGTAAATTCGAGAATGGATTGTCTCCAAAAAACTCTTCAGTGGCAGCAACATCTGAGGCCATACCCGCCTCCATCCCCTGTCTAAGCTGTAGGGCCTCCACATTGTCGACCGCGCTCTGTTGAAGCGCCGGTAGGCTGTGCTTCTGGTGCAGGATGTACCCCATGAAAAGCCAACAGAGTCTGTAACTGCCTGTGTATTTGATGCAGCTGAGTTTGCAGTGAGTTAACATCAGATTGGATTTGTGTCACCTGGCGTGTAAGACGCAATTGATGAGTCACGACGTTGTGAAGGATTGCTTCATGTGTTGTGTCGGAACTCTCACTCATCAAATGGAGACAAAATCCAAATAATCACCAAAACAGCTGTGAAAAATCCAAAGCAGAAATTGCAGACTGAGAATGTTGGCCACTTGGACGGGGAAGAGGTACCCACATGAATTGGCTGGGCAATAGCGATGTCACCACGATGCACCGCGGAGCCCCGTCGCATCAAAATTGAAAACAGGGATGCCGCAACTAAAGAGGGTCCCACCCTCCCACCACTTAAACCAAAATGTTACACGTTCAAAAATTGACAGTTGTCACACTGATAAGAACAGAGTTGTGTTCACTGAGCTGCAAGCATCCAGGTCACACACTGATAAGAACAGACATACAGTGACATCTAAATTAGCCTTGCAAACCGAACACAAACAAGGACAACAAAAGATCTTTAAACGTGGTTCGTTATTGGGTTGTTTGTTTTAACACAGGTTGACCGACAAGCAAAGGTTACGCCAAGCATAGAAGACAATACCTCCAGGTTACCCTATAGCCTTTAGCCCTATAAAGGGCCAAAGGCAAGAAACCGTTTTGGAATAAAGGAACTATCCCTACCTCGTACCTCGGACGGAGGCGCTCCATATATCCACATTTAGCTGCCACCGGTGACCTGTCACCGCCAGAGTCTGGAAAACCCCAAGTCACGACTGTCTCATCGGCCAGGATCGCAGCAAATGCGTAACAATTTGCTTGAACCCGTTGGACACCCTTCAGTTGATCTTGGACTTCAGAGCTGTCACCACCAGAGTCTGGTCTGCCCCAAGTCACGATTGACCCATCTGCCAGGATCGCAGCAAATGCCTCACTTGTAGCTTGAACCTGCTGGACACCTTTCAGCTGATCTTGGACTTCAGAGCTGTCACCGCCAGAGTATGGAAAACCCCAAATCACGACTGACTCATCGGCCAGGATCGCAGCAAATGCGTAATCATTTGCTTGAACCTGTTGGACACCTTTCAGTTGATCTTGTACTTCAGAGCTGTCACCGCCAGAGTCTGGTCTGCCCCAAGTCACGATTGACCCATCTGCCAGGATCGCAGCAAATGCCTCACTTGTAGCTTGAACCTGCTGGACACCTTTCAGCTGATCTTGGACTTCAGAGCTGTCACCGCCAGAGTCTGGAAAACCCCAAGTCACGACTGACTCATCGGCCAGGATCGCAGCAAATGCGTAATCATTTGCTTGAACCTGTTGGACACCTTTCAGTTGATCTTGTACTTCAGAGCTGTCACCGCCAGAGTCTGGTCTGCCCCAAGTCACGATTGACCCATCTGCCAGGATCGCAGCAAATGCCTCACTTGTAGCTTGAACCTGCTGGACACCCTTGAGCTGATCTTGAACTTATTTCCAAACGTACTAAAACCGTAGACACTACAGACCTTATTAAAAAGACGCCTGCCACGCACGCCGGAAAAACGCCATCGTGAAAAAACTCTCACACTGAAAAAACGTGAAAACAACCGGCTGACAGCTGAAGCACTGCACACCTTTTCACTCCTAGACATCGGGGAAGTCCATAGCCCTTCTTTTGGGGCGCAAAAAAGAAGGAAGTGAGGGCGTTCCACGAACCTAGGCGGCGTTCCGCACAAAACATAAGAAAGGAAGGCTTTCCCAAAGAACAGTAAAGGCGGCATTCCGCGGACCGTTCTGAATATTAAAAATGTAGGGGGGGAGGGGGGCACAAACAACGAGTCACAAAGGAAAAACGTGCGAACCCGCCCACCCTCCCTAGGAGGCCTTGAACTGAGAATGGCCACACGTAAAATAAAGATTCCTCTGAACCAGTGTGACATGTTTTACCCTTAAAACATAGGTTCTTGTTTTAAAAGTCATGCACTCATTGACAGATAAAAAACAAGAACATCACACAGAGAAATAAACCATGTTCTGCAAAACAGAACCACATAACGCGTCAACAGAAAACCAACAAACCCCAGTTTGTTGAGCAAGGTACAGCCAGAGTTTACCCAGTAAACAGAGCAGTACCAGAACCCGAATGCTGTCGCAGACGCGTAAAGAAAGGATGCGTAGAGGCGAGGGGCAGGACCGCGTGTCTACTAGAAGCTGCTCTCAACTTCTTTTTAGTACTAAAGGAAATAAAGTCTCATCAGCAAGCTGAGTTGCAACTTATTTCCAAACGTACTAAAACCGTAGACACTACAGACCTTATTAAAAAGACGCCTGCCACGCACGCCGGAAAAACGCCATCGTGAAAAAACTCTCACACTGAAAAAACGTGAAAACAACCGGCTGACAGCTGAAGCACTGCACACCTTTTCACTCCTAGACATCGGGGAAGTCCATAGCCCTTCTTTTGCCACGGACCCCACCCATGTCAAGGTGGCTATCCAAACTTTCTAAGAAAGTTCAAGCTTTCTTGAAATACTCTCAGGACTTCCGCTTTCGAAGCCTGAGCTTCTTTTCGAAGGAGTTGGTGTGGAGTGTCTCTTGAAGGGAAATCAGCCAGGTTTGAACTTGAAGGAAATAC